GGGCGGGGGGGCCCGCGGCGGCAGCCGGCGCAGCACCGTCGGTCATGCTGGCATACATATGATCGAAATCACATGGAAAACTATGGATACCGGCGGCAGCGGTGTTGCCGCTGGTGCTCTTGCCGTCGCCGTCCATGTCCTGGAATTCTTGGTTGCGAGCGCTGGTGCAGCCACCGCCGCCGGCGTTGTTATTGTTACCATTAGCACCGCTCCCGACACTGCTCATCGTCATCATCGTGACGGAAGGATTGCCGCCGGCATTTGTGGTAGTCGCTGTCATCATAGCCGACGATACTGAAGACGACGACGACGACGACAATGATGATGACGATGATGAGGATGACGATGATGACATCGCGATGGTGTTGCGGATGGCGTTTGCCACCGCCGGTGGTGATGATGTTGTCGTCGTCGTAGCGTTCGACAGGTGCTCGTTCATCGCCGCGACCATCTTGCCGCGATCGTGATAGCGGCGACGGTCCTCGTCTTCTTCTTCTTCTTCTTCGTCGTCGTCGTCGTCGTCGTCGTCGTCCTCGTCGTCCTCGTCGTCCTCGTCTTCTTCTTCGTCTTCTTCTTCGTCGTCGTCGTCGTCGTCGTCGTCGTCGTCGACGTCGGGAAACGACGGCGCGACGTCAACAATGACGACGGCAGCGGCGTTTGTAGAGTTGTTACTGTTTCCGCTCCTACTTCTGTTGATCGTTCTCGCGTTGACGCTACCGGCGTCCAGCAGCAGCGGCGTCGTCGTCGTCGTCGTCGTCGTCCTGGTTCCAGCGCTGCTCAATGTAATCTCACGATAGTTGATCGACGTTGCGACGTCGTCGTCGTCGTCGTCGTCGTCGTTGTCGTCGTCGTCGTCATTGGCGGCGACGTCGACCCCGCCACCGTTGGCCAGGCACGTCGTCGCTCCTGTCACCGAGGATAATAACGCGTCGACAGCGTAAGTACAACAACGACAGTCGCCGCTGCAGGTACGCGGTACTGTCGTCTCGCGGCAGAAATTCACTGGCGTCGTGTCGCGTAAGGCGTCGGACAACGTCACGTCGCGGAGACCGTCCGCGGCGCCACCGATGACGCCGCCGGTAACAACGAGTACGCCGCCGTTACCAATGATATCAGTAGTATTATTATTATTCTTATTACTACCGGCACTGATGTGACTGACACAAGAATCGGCACTATTGTAAGAATCAAAGACACTTCCACCACCCACGCAATTGCCCTTTCCTACTCCTCTTACCCCGCGGCAACCGCCGTTGCCACTGACAGCGCCGGTGGCGGCACCAGCAGCGTTGACGCTGCTCCTGCTCCTCTCACCGTTCACGACGAGTCGCTCGGACAGCGAGCTGACGTTTGACTGGTTTGACATTTTGTTGACGCGAGCGCAGTTGCCGCAGTTTTGCCGCCGACGCCGCGGCGACTACCGCGACCATCTGCACCCGCTACGAGCATGCCCCGCACCCGCACTCGCCCCATGCACATTAAAGCGTCTCTGACGTCTGAGCGTCCTGCGGCGACAACAAACGCGAATACCGCCGCCGTCGTTCGGTGGTTCGGCCACCTCTCGGGATTCGAGCAGACGCGACGCGACGCGATGCCAACAGACACGGAGTCTTGGCTGTTAACTCTCTCCACCTCTCGCCCTGTCGCTCGAGGAGGAATTCTTATGACGTTAAACGAACGACTCGCGAGTGCCAGGCAACCAGCAAGCACACGCATGAGGTTGTGCGAGCACGGCGCCTCCGCTTCGTGTTTACTTCGAGTACTTGAACGGAACGAAACGGAACCTCGTCGCGTTTTCGTCCTCATTACGATCAATGTTACCCGGTTGGTATTGGAGATCGTTATTTATTTTTTACGGTAGATTGGCATAATGCGGTTGATTTGCGACACCAGCGCTTTGTGCACTCTATCGTATAAAGTTTTTTTTATCTCATCAGAATAATTGAGAAACCGATTAATCGGTAAGCGGTAAAAGAGCGATCAATAAATTCGAATTGTCATTTGCGATAAATCATTCGACGGAATTCTTACCAGAACTTATCAGAAGCTATATTTTGGAGTTTCAACATATTTCAACATATTCAACAAATAGAAAATTTGTTATACTTTGCTTATACATATATGTATAAAATAGTTTTTAAATATATGTATATCTTACGTTTTAATTAATAGCCATTACAAACACGCGCTACCTAAAGCAATCCTTTTAATTAAATGATTTTCTTCCATCACAAAAGACCATTTATAATAATTAAAATGCCATTTCGTTAGGGATTCATGTCAATTTAATATGAACCATATCGTATAGACTAATCTTTAAGAATTAAGATAAACCTTAAGATTCTTACAACCTTAAGGTTTATCTTGATTCTTACAAACTATATTTATACGATATGGTTCATATTAAATTGACATGAATCCCTAACGAAATGGCATTTTAATTATTATAAATGGTTTTTCGTGACGAAAGAAAATCATTTAATTTCAAGACATTTCAATCGATGACCTTTTATACTGCAAATTTTGAAAACAGACAAAAAATATTAATTATTTTTCCCTTTAAATTTTAAATTTTTAATCGGAATCAACGTATCTCAAAACCTTTTACATCCACCATATTGGATCAGGCATTTCTTAATTCCAAATTTTAAGTTAGAAATTGAAATCCACGTCTATGAAAACCCTTCAATGTTACATTTCGCCGAAATTGAAAGACTTTTAGCACTTTCGTCCGTCATATTGGTTCAGCTATTTTTATTCTCAAATTTGAAGTTATAACAACTTTGTCCTCTATATTGATTCAGTGAATTTTTAAACTTTAAACTCAGATTCCGTATCAATGATAGCAAAAATTCGGTTTTGGAATCCGCTAATTCATAAACTTTTTAACGCTACATTTCGCCGGAATCGAACAATTTTTAGCATTTTTGTCTATTATATTGGTTCAGCCATTTTTAATTTTTTAATTTTGTGTTTGAATTTGGAATCGGTGATTCCATAAATCTTTTAATGCTACATTTTGCGAAAATTGGCAGACTTTTATAATTTGCATATTTCTGTCTGCTATATTTCAAATTTTTTAACAGAATTCTGGCCGCTTCATATTTTTTTATTACTTTTTTAATATTTGGATTTAGCACGACACTTGCAGAAAATGTGTCATGCTGATTGTTTATAGCAGTTTTGATGACAGTTCTCTGCTATGCTACATTTCGCTAAAATCGGAAGACTTCAAACATTTTCATAACATTTCCGTCCGCCATATTGGTCAGTCATTTTGAATTTTCTAATTTTGTATTCGAATTCGAAATTAGTGACCCCCAAAGACCCTCTAACATATTTCGGAAAAATTGGAAGACTTTTACCATTTCCATAACATTTTCTTTGCCATATTGGTTCAGCTATTTTTTATTTTTAAATTTTAATTCGAATTCGGCATCAGCGATCTCGAACATTTTTTGCTCCCCGAACTACATTTTGTTAAAATCGAAGGATTTTTAACATTGCTGTAATATTTTTGTCCGCCCTATGGCTCAACCATTTTGATTTTTCAAATTTTGGGTTTGAATTCGAAATCAGCGACTCCGAAAACTTTTAATACTTTAATATTTTAATACTTTATTTTCTCGGAACCGAAGTACTCAACGAAAAGAGGCTTTTAAGATAGGATTATATAAGGATTATATAAATATCATCATTGCATAGAAGATTTTTAAATAATACCAGTAATTTAAAAATATACATATATTTTGCTCTTGATATTCCTTTTTATTTAGATGATATTGGCATCGAGTATTATAAAACTATAACACATTTTATAGGCAGGCATATGAATAGGGATGCTAAATTCTGATCTATTGTCACAATTATAGTAAATAATTCTTCATGTACAAACGATAAATTATCGAATTTAACATTAATTATTCCTTTTGATTAGCAAGAGTCTACAGATTTATTTATAAAAAAATCCTCTAAAATGCTAATTGCGTTGCAAAAACTTATATGATAATTAGCGATCGATTAACTAAAAGATATGAGAATTATTATTATTTACAGTTTTGCGACAAGTTGAATCGTTTGCGATTAACACATTTTGCATACATTGTACATAGTAATGTGGATAACATATTAAATCATATACATAATGTACTAATCATATACATAATAAAGTGAAAAATCTCGATCAGATTTTTTTTTCGAATATTTTACACAAAGTAGATAAAAATCGATGATTTAACGAATTATCAAACTTAGATGCCTTTTGTTGTACAATATATATCATCAATGAGTTTTAATATACATAATTAAAACGGGTTACAAATGAGTATTCCTTGAGAGATACGGAAAGGTACAGCGTAAAAATAAAACAGTGTATCCATCTGCTGTTTACGAGATAACGATCAGCGTAAATTCCTGAGTTACGTTCAGTATATCGCATGTTTCATTTCATATATGTATACACTATTAAAATTAATCTAAATAATTTAAAAATATGATGTTGATATAGTTTTAAACACATTAATCAAATCTACATGCATACATAAATATAATTATTACCTATGCTATGCACAATACTAATTTTTACATATCTCTGTATTTATTTACAATTATCCTAACATCATTCTTTCCGTTCTTGTTTGAATAAAACTTGCGTTTCAGAGTTTACGTATAATAAAATATTCTTTAAATTTTTATTATAAATTATTTCATAAAAAGGCAATTGATGCGCTCTTCATTCATTGACACAATCAGTTCTATTCCTTTTTTGAAATTCTTTTACAATAACGTGATGTAATGTAATTCGATAGGGAAAACGCAAGTTTTTCATGCGCTATTGTACAACTGTTATTCTATAAAATTGTACTCGATTATTAATTTCTTTAAAATATAGTATATTTCACGTGATATATCGCATTAAAAATTCGCTTAGCAAGCGGTACGAATCTGTCGATGTAAAATGAATCGTAGGTTCGATAATAAAAATAAAATCAACCAGTGTATAAGATTCTTCCAAGATTATTCATACAACACAGTTTTTCAAGTGATGTCGTAAGGACATACAGAGGACATCTACGTCTTAAGGACGTCCTTAGAACTTTTCTCAGAGAATTGTATTGTGTGGATATATTCCGTCTACAAGTTTTTTTCATGACTAGAGTTATGGTCTTTCGTACTCAGACAAGTAATGGCAAGTAATATATTATATTGTCCCTAAAGCAAGGAACAAATTATTATTCGAAAAGAACTCGTGAAAGAATCATGTTTTCTAAACTGTTTTGCGTCATTTCAATTGTCGCGTGTTCGTGCGACTTGACTTGGAACACAGTTTCCGAATAAAAGAAATTAAAACTAAAATTAAAAACGTAGAATAATTAAATAACGAAAAGTTAAGTTTACCGGATTGGCACGATTGCAGGATGTAACTACGTCGAATACATCGTAGCACACATTATGATTATGCACAAATATTCACCGAGTATCTTTTCGATGAATTTTGATATTGCGTGTGGACAGAATGTTGGAAGCGCGTTAATAGATCATAAAATAGTATGTGCCATTTTCGCGAAACCGAATTCTTCAACGCAGAAAAAGAAAAAGAGAAATGAACGCACTTATATTCATTCCTGATTTTGCTTTTGAGAAAATATTTTATCCATTTTGTATTCCTCACTGATACGATATTTGCCTAAACATACTGCTAATCTCCTCCATAGTCTTGTTCTTCGTTTCCGGCACCTTCTTGTATATAAAGAGCGTGAAGAACAACTGCAACACCGCAAAAATGATGAACACGTAAGCGCCTAGTACCTCCTGCAGCGGCAAGAAGCCAATGCTGACGATGAAGTTTGCGGTCCAGTTGACGGCGATGGCGATGGAGGTAGCGGGTGGTCGGGCGGATTGATTGAACAACTCTGATACCAGGAACCACGGAATACTTCCTGGTCCAGTGGCGAATAGGACGACGAACATGATGACAAGTACAATCGAGAAGTATGCTGCTGCGCGTGAGGTTTCCTACAATGTACAAATAAAACATTTAATTATGATCTCAAATTAATTTAGTTAGTCAAGATATATGACAACTCTCAAAGCCAAGCGGTTCACTTGGCGCTACAAATGCTTCGAAGCTTTTGATTGACCAATTGGAATAAAGAATTTTTCTAAGTGATCAATAAAAAAAATGCTTTGGAGCATTTGTAGCATCAAATCAGATAGTTAGTAGTTTAAGCATACTTACAGCGAATACGAGACAAATGGCGAGTAGAGCGGTATCCACGAACATGCCGGAAAATCCGACCAAGAGTAGCGTTTTTCTGCCTGCTTTTTCTACTAATACTAAAGAGACGATGGTCATTAAGACGTTCATAGCACCGACTCCCATCGTGGCGTTCTGAGCGGCATGCTTGTCGAGTTGCGCCATCCTGAAGATCTTCGTTGAGAAAAACATGACGGCATTTATGCCAGATAACTGCTGGGCGAACATAATCATGATCGAGATGAATAACGGGATACGAAGCGCTGGATTTACAAAGAGTTCGCGCAGAGTGACCTTCGGCACCAGTTTCACCGACTCGTACTCTGCTCGCATTTCTTCCATCTCGTCATGAACTTCGATCGTGCCACGTAACCAGGACAGCGCTATTAAGAAGAAAAGAAAAAAACAATAAATATGAAAAAATGAACAAAGCCGACAAAGCGAACAGATCGAACAAAGGATTTGAATTTATTCTATGACGCATAAAGCGACATATTAAAAAAAGGTAATTTATGATTTCAAGGAATATTCATAAATTCCTTTTAAAGTATCTCTTTTATCCGCTTAGCTTTATAATCCGCGCTTTACATTCGCTATTTATGACGAAATAAATTATATTCTTTCCTACCTCTTTGTGCATCCATATCTTTGCCGCGATTGAGCAACAGATATTTGGGACTTTCGGGACAGAGAGGCAGCGTGCATATCTGGAAGATCGCTGGTACGATCGTCAAGCATAGTAGCAACGGCCATTGTTCGGCGGTACCAAGGACTTGCTCCAGACCGAGGATTTGCGATACCAGAATCGAAATGGTGATGACTAACTGGTAGACAGTGCCCACGGCGCCACGTAGATGCACGGGCGAGATCTCAGCCAGGTACATCGGTGCCAGGCCAGCATTCAGCCCGGAGTTTATACCGATTAGGAACCTGCCGACGATTATCATTTCGTAGCTCTTCGCTGCCTTGGCGCTACCTTCGAAGATCACAGTCACCAGGACTAGGATGTTGTTCAGCAGCAGACCGCCCTTTCTGCCGAAGCGATCCGCTACCCAGCCTACCATGGAACCCCCTATCATTCCACCGACACAAAATATCGACACCGCCAACGACCAAATTAACGTCACTTCCGTCTTTTCCGTTGGGATGCCCGTGCGGTTTGTTTTCAGGTCTTTGATCCAGTCTTCGATAAGCTATAAACAGTTAGAACATTTATTTAATAATTTTCATAATTTTTCACTCATTATTCATTTTTTTTCCGTACGTATTCATAAATATTTTACTATCATATTATTGAATGGATTCATAATTCTAACATAGGAATATAATCTATACGATATATAGGGGAGACCGGGGTTAATAGACTCATTTTTCAGTTTCGAATTTTTACGGACGAAATTAAGAGACTTGTCGAAAAAATGAATTCTACATCAGTTACTATATACATTTGACTACCTAATAATATTTTAATAAGAGGAAACTAATAACTAATATGAAAAAAATGCATTTTTCTAATACATTCCATCTGATTCAACTAGCCCCGAAACCGGAGTAATTCGACTAAAATTATTAAAATAAAGATTAATGTATTTTAAGCTACATTTTTGGCTACATATTAATAAAACTTTTATAAAAATATATTTTAAACACAAACATTCGCTTCGCAGGACAAAACAATACTTCTTTTTGCAAAATTTGTTCATTTCGTGCAAAAACACGTCGAATAAGCCTAGTTTTCGAGATTGGACATGAGGGAACTAAACTTATAACAGTTACCACTAAAGAAAATCTCTTTAAAGGAATAAAATTTTGAATAAGTATTATAAGAGTCGTCACTAAATGAGTTCATACAGTTCCATGCTGTTAGTCTACTACTCGTTCATTTTTTGAAAACATTAAAATATACGATAACAAAGACACATAAATAAAAAAAAATCTGTTGGACTGTTCTTTATTAAATAAGAACTACACTTACTATCTAAATAAGAATCAAATATTTCAGAAGTTATGTCACAATTTTAAAAAATCGTACACCTAAGTAAATATTTTTATTCTTAAAGTTTTTGTTTTACAATCATATACGATTGTAAAACAAAAACTTTAAGAATAAAAATATTTACTTAAGTGTACGATTTTTTAAAATTGTGACATAACTTCTATCATAGATGTGTTCGCAACAAGATGTTACAGCAGACTTAGCGACAGTCGCTGCTGCTCAAATACGTTTACGTGTGTCTCGCGTGTTTTGTTTTTAATGTAGCCTCGATTATTCTACTTACCCCTATTCTGACCCCGGTCTCCCCTATTTCTTACACAGAGAAAAAGATTTCTTTGGATTTAATAAATGTTATTGAATTCAAATAAATTTGTTATTTGGAATGGTTTAAAGCAATGATGCTTGAATCAATAAGTGTGAGTGTTTGAATTTGAAACAATGTTATCTTTGTCTTAAATATATTATTTGTTTGAACAGATAATGTTTATCTTCGACATTCGCGTGATCAAACTGTATGGTACAAACATAATTAATATAGCACATAGTAATTTTAGCCAAAAAATGTAATCGTTATTCTAAGAAAGCAATTATTTGCATGGAACAATCTCTATCAATATATTTTGCCATTTTTAAATAAATAACTTGTTTCATTGTTTGTATTCATTGTAACCAAATAATATATATTATTTGATTGAAGGATATTACTTCAAATAATAATGTTATTTCTGTCAAGCAATAGAGGTTTTCTCGAATGAAACAACAAAATTTTTATTCAAACAAATAATGTTTCGTACAAGCATATGTTGTTTCAATGAAATAAATTTTAGTCAAATAAATTTCCTATAAGAATACTAAATCCAAAGAAACCTTTTTTCTCTGTATATATTAAGAAAAAGTAAATATAACACTTTAGACAAATGTTCTTGCAAATGGGTCAATGTAAGATGTTTTAAGAATGTCTGATTAAATTGATATTTATACCTGTTGAGGTGCATTAACCACACCGGTATTGTATCCATGCTGGAACGATGAACCGAGAGCGGCCGCTGCGATAGCGAATGCTAATCGGCCGTTAAGACCCTATAACAGAAATCGGAAGTACTACATGTACATGGGAAATCTTATCTTAAAGTTATTACAGGAAAAATATGTATTTTTATTTTATATTAAATATGTTATTTTTATCTTATATTAAAAAAGAAAATATCTATAATACGTATAATTTTAATTAATTTTCTGATTAAAATTTGAAGAGGAATATTCCTTCGGAAAATTCTTGTAAGGAATATTCTCTTAGCATTTTCGAAATGACGTCGTTATATTTCTTTTTGAAATGCAAATATCGATATCAGACGTATAGTCAGGCATATTGAAGAAGTGATAAATATTCAACGCGCAAGTATAATGTAAAAATATATTGCTTACTGGCTTTCAGCTGTCAAATCGGAGAAATCGAATATCTGTCGTAGCGAACCGCGAAATATTCGCGAGATATATTATTTTCTAAATAAAATTTTCATATATCTTTATCTTTTATTATTATTAGAGTATTTCGCGTATATATATTCATTATATACATGCATACGGAAAAAGAAGAAACGTTTCTAATGTAAAAGGGAAGTCATCCCATTTCTCAGAGATCGAGTTTCTTTCGTATCTTCTAATACCGGGAATACTGCTACTTTTGCAGAGAGTGCGTACCGTTCTTCTCACATACGGCATCTCGAAGTCGGTCGATTTTATCGTCATCCTGAATGAAAACTTTCCTTACGAACGCACGCACTTTTGATTACATTAATATTTCACTTTCCAATCGACATACACGCGATAGACGAAAAAATTACATGAGTTATGTCGAATCGTTTGTTTCGTAGTTCGTCTTAATGTTGTACCGTTCTCCAGTATCTCAAGTATCTTGGAACATGTACCGAAGACTGGTGAGTCGGTATTCTTGCTGGCCATTCTTATACTAGGAGGCTACAATACGCACACATACACGCGTACGCATGCGGAGCATATATATCTTTCCATTCGGAAGATACGTACACATTCCATACGCATGCGTATGTGTCGCATTATTTAACACGACACTACAATGTACGTACATTACTTAATCTTCTTTTTTTTTATTGAATTTGCATAAGTACAGTATATGATGTATACTCACTCGCATACATCATTTCCATACACGCGAGAACTTTTAATGTGTGCTAAACAATGGCGTAAATCGCGCAAATTATATCTTATTAAAACAAATTTGTTTCTATGCTCGGTGTTCAATTAAATTGTATTAACATTAAAAAAAGAAGTAAAAGACAAATCGGTAGCGAGAATTAATTATTCAATACAGATATGAATTTCTTTCGAATCACCTTCATTTATTTTTGCGGATTATTGTAGTTTACTCACTAGATTAGGTTTTGTGCTCGCTGCGTCAAAATTATAGAAGAATAACTCTTGAAATAAAAAAAAGAAATAATTTCTTCTCTACATTTCACGACAATTGCAATTGGAGAACGTAGAAAATGCATGCATGGATCACATCGCAAGAATCGCAAATGAAGCGCATCATCATCATATTGTTCCAAACGCGTATATTTACATATGCATAGCATTTATATAAATATTTATCAATGCATTTTTGACAATGTTGTGAATCTTCTTTGACGTCGTCAGTCCGATAGCCGAATGCACTTCGTACGCGGATATACGATAACAATGCTATGTATTATGCACCGAGACTGTAATAACCATTGAAAGAAATTCTGTTCCGTCAGATCATACACTGGACTTTAAATTCTATTTACAAAATAAATAACAATTACACAATTTATCTTTTATTTGCTTCTGATTTCATTTTTCCATTCTCTTTATCTCTCAAAGCTCTGCAAGAGCATATAATCTTATTCAATTTCACCCGAATATGAATATGCGAAAGAGAACAGCAAAGCAAACAAATCTATTAAAGCGTTTACATTGCGATAGTCATCCACTTTACAATTTTGTGTCTTCGATCTTTATCTATTTGAGATAATTCAATTCTTAAAATGATACGAGCAAAATTAGACCTTGTTTAGTTGGACGGTCGAGCTGACAATAATAAGCTAGAGATAAATGCAAATCGTTCGAACGTTAAACTGGCAGTATTATAATGTTGGATTTAATAAACGTTTAAATTAACGTTATACTGTGTACATCGACGAAAATATTCTCATCTTTCGTTATCTCGCGTTTTTATGCGCTGGTGCGAGTGAAAGATTCAAAGTTTGCATAACGCAACGGTACTAAATCTTCGTCTCTCTCTCTCGTGATGCATCGTTCATTGGTCGCGCATCGTGTGACTTTTTACGCAAATAAAATGAGATCTCTGCGTAAACATTTTTCAAAAATTTGTTGGACTATACAAAAAAATAATCTGTCTCACTGAACATTTATATCATTTTTTTCGCCGATTTGTTATTTACACACACACACACACACACGCACACGCACACACTGTCATAAATGATAAAGTTGACGCATTGTTTTTAATAATAACGAAAAATAATATAGAATATTATAGAAGCAACATAAATAGAAACGACTTCTCGAAAAAGCAAAAAAAGAAGCATTATGTAAAAGACATTCATAGATGCAGATCTAAATTCTGATAGTTCGTATTATTTAACATTTATTATTAATGACCGGAAGCGTGTATATTCTCGACTAAGGGAAGAATCGATATAAAATTGTGTTAAAGCTCACTGTACTTATAGTAAAAATTGTTTAATTCAAACGAATTGAAACAGATTCACATGTTAAATATGATGTTAAATATCTAATCTCTAAAATATATAGATTGCTTTTAAAATCTGATCGAATACAAAAAGAGAATTTTATTTATCTATGAAATAAATAAATAATAATAGAAAATCAAAATATTCAATTATCGATCAGTCAAATACTTGACTTTGTAAATTAAGAATCTATACATTCACATTATACATTTTTATTAGATGTAATTGATTCTTAGATTCACCTGATTTTTACAAAGACAAAGAACAATATTTTGTCTCTCAATTATTGTCAAAATAAAAAAATGTGCAATCAGGCGAAAAGTATAAATAACAAATGCTTACTTATTTCTTCGCAGCGATAACCATTCTATTAACTAATACATATCACGGAGATAGGGGCACGACCGAAGAGATTACCAATGCTAAAGCGACTCGCAATTTATTCCGATGCGTAAAAAGTCGCCTTCAAATATTTAGCCGTTTCTGATGATTTATTTAATTTGAATTTATTTAACTTAATTTCCACGCAATTATATTTATTTTAAATGCAGATATATGACGTATATTAAAGAAAACGTGCAAATGAAACGTGCAATTGAAACGAAGTAATTAAAAGAAATAATAATTTTTGCAAAACAAACATGTGAAGATAGGAACGGAAGTGCGATTGGAACAAGTGTTAATTTAAATTGAATTCCATCAAGGCAAAATCATGGCATCAAGGTAAATTGATAACAAAATGTGTTATTTAATTTTGAGTCTTTAACGAAATCAGTTTAATGTAATCACGGTTATAAATGCCGCGTTTAATGTTAAAAACTGATAAATTAATGTCTGCACGCGATCTGTGCAAGGGTGTCGACCCTAACCGCCATCAATCTATAATATCTCTATGATTGTGTGCGTGTGTGCTACAAAACTGAGTGATATTGATTGCATGAGACAGTGGATAAAACCATCTAGATCATGGTCGGAGAATGCAAGCATGAAACCTTGGAAACGACCTGAATCGCATTTCTATGTTACCTTCTATCATTAATTTCTTCTTGTAATTTTTCGTATTACAATATCAAATTTATTTTGAGTTTTAAAGAGGCTATTATTTTGTAAAATAAATTTCTGTCAGTCTTTCTTAGAGAATTCAATTTTTTGGGCGGAGAATGTACGTATTTATTACGTGGATGATCTCTGTTATAAAATTCATGAGAAATTTGTAAGAACACTTTTGCAAGTAAATAGCTGACAAGAGTTAAACAAGAATTCATTTCGTGAAATTGAATTTCTAATTCATCAAAGCGGAAAATTAGCTTTTAAATTGAAACTTTGTCTTTTTGTAATAGTTACTTGAATGTTGAATTAATTTAATATTAAATTTAATTGCAAATGTAAACAAATTTATCTTTTTCTCTTTTTTATTGTTTTCTTACCGGTTCTTCTATCGATTAGAATTTACTTTATTAAATGAGAAGAAATCGAGTTTAAATTGCAGAGTTACACAACTTGTGATTTCAAAGATGATTCAAGATTTTCTTTTCGACATAAGAAGAGTAAAATAACTCTTTATTTACCCACACAATATTTATAAAATATTTGTAAAATATTGATAAATATTTATAAGTCTTATTTTAAATATTTTGTGCTCTTAGATTGCATAGGTCATAAATATTTAATATAAATATCATGAAATATTTATTGTAAATCTTCTAGTTCTATGGAAATACTTATTGTAATAAGACATTATAATCCAAATAAGAAACACTTAACAAAATTTATATTATCATAAATAAATATCACATTAAATATTTATTTTCCATCTTTTAATAATATATTTCGAGCAAAGCTTCATACAAAATATGTATAAAATGTTTACATAACATTTAAAACAATGAATAATAATAAATATTTTGTGCCGTCTAGGCGGTGTTCGCTCATTGATCGGAGGTGACGCCTATGAACGGCTAGAAGCCGTTCCAACCAGTTCCAACGGCTGGCCAACCGGGCGTGCGTGCGTTGCGTACGAGCATTGTAATCGTATACGGCACAGCGGATATCACATACACACGCATTGCGGTCACGTGCGTAAGAGATATTCGGTCGTCGGATTTCTACATAGCAAAGTTCCAGGCCATGACGTATCCCGCGTCATAAAGAAACAAGCTATTCGTCTGTAGTGTGCATATGCACTCGTAACGAAATCCGTTCGCAACTGCATTGGCCGTGGCGAAGGCGTGTCGCCGCGCTATTGGCGCTGTCGGTACATCCAACGGTCGAGCCCCCCGAGAGAGCGGCGGCAGCGGCAGCGACGACGACGACAGAGGCTTGAGCGCGCTAAAAATAACTCGAATACTCGCACGAACACGAGCGCGCCACCGACATTCGTCTAAACGTGTGCTGCCTGTTTTCGAGACGCCGTTGTCCTGGTTACCTGGTCGTCAAGTCGCTAATTTCGACGTTCCACGAGACCGGCGAAAAGAACGTGCGCTCCCGTACAAGGTCCGCAAATGCTCTTGTCTCTTTGATATGGATGGTCTAGTTTCGTTTCGGAACACGTTCCGCTTTTCTACTTCGTTCTTTTAGCCCCTTTCAATTTTCATTTCTTTCTTAACGATCAGAATAAATCTTGTACGAAAGAAACTTGATTAAAATAAGAGGCCTCTATTCCGTAACTTTTAATGACAGTGTCGGTGTCGCAAGGTTTTAATTATATAGAGTAAAAAGAGTTGTACGATAATAATATAATGATATATCGTTGTAAAAATTAGATAGGGATACTACTCTAATTTTCCACCTAAGAAAATATCAATGATTATTTAATAAGCGCCCAGTAAAGATTTGAAGGTTTCAATATTTAAGGTATAGTCGTTTCGTATCGAGACGATAATATTGTAGATAAGATTTCACTGTTCGTGTTATTGAAAAATTGAGATGCATGATGTGCTAATTTCTATCGATAAGCCAGTACAACAAAACACATAGAATTGCATTGGGCAATTTTATCTTTGTTTTGTATTTCTCTCAATTGATCGACCTTCTTTTAACTTTCATTGTTTTTAAGCAAAAAAATGACGAAAAAAGATCTCGGATATCTTTAGAATGATCGGATGCTGCAAAGAAGATTTGTTTTGTGGCACACTTCTTATTAATATGCACGCCTCTTATGGAGTCGCAAAACGATCGATATGATACATAATGGAATGATAATGACCATTTGCACATTATGATAATCGCGTGTAATCGTCTTCTTGGAATTCTACGAAGATGACGATGCAACACTAATCATTTTAGCTATATTAACTATTGTTCCAAAGTGTTTAGAACACTTTAGAACTTAAAAGTCACGTGTTTTCAAGTAGAGAAAAGATTTAATTACCTCCCGTGTCATCCTATTCCGCATGATTAACTTGCTAAGCCGATTACATTTTTTTTGTCGAAGGACTTTTTATGAAAATTTCACACACAATAATAGTATTTCGCTTCATATGCCGCGAAAATGGAGCCTAATGATAATGATAAGTTTCAATGGGAGCTTTCGACTAGCTCTTGTCACTCATATATTGTATTTAAAGAGCACTGACGAGGCACTTCCTCCATTTTTGGTTATTATCGAATCACAGCCAATCGTTATATAACACGAAGCTCCTTTGCAGTACATTAAACTGAAAAATTTCAACTTTTTGAGACACCAAATCTGTTTAATATTTATTTATATAGAAAAATTAAACATAATATTTATGATTCGTGAATGATTTGTAACTCATGGATTTATCAATTTCTCCGCAATATTTGTACGATTTGAGCAAATGGCAATTTTATTTTACGAAACAAAAATTTCTTCGATTTCATTACATTAGAATTTGATCTAAATAATTACAATCAAAAGGCAAGCATTAAACTTTTAATTAAATTAAAGTTTTAAATGAAACAAAATACAATGAAGTAAGAATTATTTTTCTTTCGTTTGTTTAATAATTTACTTAATTTTCTTTTAGCAACGCTGTACACGTCTACCTCAATTGGTTCAAAATGTAAACTTAAATATAAACGTGTTTGTATGTTTTCAGCCAAATATCGCACATATCATGTCACTGTCTTGTTTTGATGCTTAAAAGATGTAATTATTACGTATACTTTTGTTTTATTTTATACATAAAAATTGTGAAAAATGAGAAAAAGGCAAATTTAAGGATTAAATTTGTGTATATTCCTACAAGAGAGAACTTCACTGAATCAAACAAATCGATACCACTGACATGCTTGGGTCCATTTGATTTCAATATGCAACGTCTAAACTTGATATGAAATATTCTTTTAATCACAGATGTCACAAGTCTCGAATATCATTTATTTTTCCCATATTTTGAAATACCGATTAGAATCATGAATTTTACATGAATTTTACATTTACACTTTCAATATTGTTGTAAAATTTTAATGGGATTATAATAGTTGCAATCATAATAATATATACCGAGTCGACCTTTTCACAAACTTTTATTTCAGTTCTATGGAAATATACATATCCGGTTTCGCTGCATATCAATTCTAGAATCAATCTCGATATAACATTTATGATTTTTTGTCCAACTTGCATAGAGTTTCTTTTACAAAAATGCTAAGGTACTAACTTTTGAATAATTAGCAATTGAAGAGAGTAGACTTATCGTGAATCGAGTTTTCAGAATAACGAATATAGAGGACAAAATCATGTTTTGATTTTAATCAAAGTTTAATTTAAAAGAAATTTAATTCCGTGAATTAAATTTCCATTTAATTACAAATTAATTTAATTACAACTGTATTAAAAGATTCGCTTCTACAAATTTGTATTAAAATTTTTTAATTTATTTTCAAGCATATTATTTATATTTAAGCGTAAAAAGATGTCTTGAGAATTAACTCGTTTGAGAATTAACATTTGAGAATTTTACCTTGAGTTCCATGTTTTATGCGAATAATCCGCACTTGATACACTCAGTCTTTTTGCTATTTCTATCTTTTCTCTAAATCTCCCGTTCTTCTTCTTTTACAGTCAAATATCTTTCTTCGTAATACAATCACTCTTTCTCACTATATAACTGCTCCTCAAAAATATCGCCTGTAAGAAGAGCGCGATTCAAAAAATTCGTTCAAGCTGATAAAAGTCTCGAGATGACAACTCCGGCTAAGACCTCCGTACTACAATCGCGAGCGCGCGCAACTGCCACCGATATTCGTGTGATGGTATAACCGAAGCCGATTTTCAAAAGACCCCGCACGCCCCTTCATGTCCCCCCTCTTCCTCTGGGACCGGTACAACAACAGCGCGATTGGGCGGTCCAGAACTGGATTCCGGATTAACCTTTCACCATCCCACGCACCCTTACCGCACGACGAAGGGGGGGCGCCCCACTAAAAAGAAGAAAGGAAGCGGATCATCGAGCAGTTTGAAAGGCGCGACTCAATAATAAGAAAACTCGATACTATCTGGAAAAACTACGAGAGTGAGAGTTTTTAGTAGAATTATACATAATTTTTATATTAATAATAATTGACTTTGTCAATTTCTCTAATATTTTTTTTTAAGTACGAGACATCTGAGAGTTAATAGAATTAATAGATAAATAATTTTATGACGCTCGTCATAAAGATAAATAGTTTTTGCGTCGAGAAAGAGATATAACAATTGCGAGTATTGCGATCTAACTTTGCGGTTGATATTCAACGAGAAGTAATCCTAGTCGTACTCGCATTATGAAAAAAAAAATTGGAATGTTTTGTGATGCAGAAGAAAGAAAATATTGCGTGAGAGAAACGCATATATTTATTATTAGCGGAAATGCAGATTGTAACAATATCGTGTCACGTTGCACAAAACTACGTTCTAAACTATGTTCGATCGCGCATATGTGAGATTATAAAATATAATGTATAAGAAGAGATAATGAGAAATTCTTAAAATGTAGACTATAACAGAAAAGGAAAATAAACATTATTTATAAAATTAATTAAGAAATCAGATTTTCTTTCTCTCGCGATTCTTGAAACGTTTTCAAAATACTTTCTTTCCAGAATATTCTTTCTAGAATATTTTTTCATTATCACCCATAGAATGCATCCCAGGTATTCTTGGAAACGTTTATGGCTTGCTACAGCATTCCTACAGTCTTCTGAAAAAAAGTGTTCTATCTCTTACAGAATATTCTTAGCTCACATTATACGTTTACAATTCTACTTTTTATAAGCGTCTCTTATAAGCAAACGTTACGCGCACTTTGCCATCTCGGAAGGAAAAATTGAAAAAACACGTGGCACTTCAAGCATCTCTTAATCTTTGCACTTTGAAGCGATTCTTTTCACGTTTCTTATAAACACGCTTCTGACGATGCGTATATACGATACCGGACGCGGTCTGTTGACGACGACCAGTTAGGTCACGTTAGTATGTGTCAATTTTACAATTAAGCCGCATTGAAACGGACCACTTCTATGACTTCACGCACATGTCCCGGCGAACTCATATAGCTGACTTCGAGATTCGTTTTGCCTCTGACACAGTACACTTGTGTATGTGTAACAATTATGTTATACGAGATATTAAAAATAAATATCGTTATTGCACGAATAAATATCATGAAATATTGCTTTCAAATCCCCCCCTCCCTTCTCCGAATGTATCAAACTTTATTAATATATATTATAAATTATATACCGACATATAATATTTTCCGACATATTTAGCGTTGAAAAAGATAGCTCTGAAAAAATCATTTGAACTAACTCAAGAATAGCAGTACAGAAATGTACAATACTTAGTCGCTGTACATGAAAGCCTCGTCATAAATGTTTACCGAATTAAAACCTAGCACTGATCATTTTATTATACGCCATAATTCAGTATAAAATAAATACAAAATGTAAGTGTGTAAATAAAGTGTGTACAGGTACTCACGTTACACAAATATTATTATACTATAAAAATGATATCATAGGGAAACGTTTTAAATGATATATCGAGTAAATTTTTATTTATATCAAGAAGAGAGAAGAGTAAAACTGCCATAGAGCAAAGATTATTTAAAAAGCTAGTCTCATTTTCGCCTTATTTTAGTTAATGATTGAAAGTTACTATATAAATATCGATATGAATAGATCTTAGACTCAGATAGACAGATATTACTCACTATTAGAAACAATTGTTATTAATTGTCCTAATACGTCGGCCGAAGCTGACGACACAAGATCTAATTTGCATGTGCCTCCATTTCTGCCAATAGGAATCATCAAGAAATAAAGTAAAGCATTCAAGTTTAACAGCTCTTTGTTAAACCAGACATGTCAAACGAATGTCCAGCGTCAATTTGTTATCCATGTTAAATATCTCACTGTAGTCATAAACTCTCAATTTTTATCAAAGTAAAACTTATCTGCCGAAAAATTAAATTTTAGTCGCTATTTGTCCAAAATTATCTGTATTACTAAATTGTTACAAACTTATCAACATGGATTAATTATTACGTTAGATAATAAGAATAACGTGTGTTAAACAAAAGAAAATATTTAATATTAATTCATATGTTAATATTAATTTGCAACACAATCCACTTTTAAAAATGTTTGGTATTATTTTCTTATCCCACTCCTCAACAATCTTAATGCTTTTTAAATATTATTTTATTTAAAATAATATTTAAAAAGCATTAAGATTGTTGAGCAGATTATAATTTGCCGACAAGGTTGCCGGCAAATTATAGCGAGAGCTCGATGACTTAATGATACCCCTATATTCCTCTTTCCTTCTTAAATAATCACCAAAATTTCAACACATTGCCGCGATAGAACGTTATCTTTTGTGGACTTTGTGACGCGTTTATCGCGATACAACTCGCTTTCGGTAGGCGTGAATATATGATAATTACGTCTATATTATATTTATTCTCATAATTTCAATTTAGTATAATGATGTAAATACTTTATTTTAATTGTCTGTCGATATATACATATTATACGCATATATGTGTATATATATATATATATATATATATATTAGGTGTTGGAATTAATTCCTAGCGTTTTTAATGAAAGAATGTTATTTATTTCACATGAGCATTAAAAAATACATTAATGAAAGTACTTCCCATCACTTGTAAAACGCTACGAATTAATTCCAACACCTAATATATATATACAATATGTATTATATGTATATACGTAAGATATGTTTCAGCTTACACACATTCAAAATAATATTCTGCCAATATGGACGCGGTACGAGACCATGATAATTTGCGAGTCAATGACTTTGGCGAGACATCAATAACATGATTCGTCATTGTATGCGAATACATTTTTCTTGGAGCGATGTATGTTCGATCGCAATTCCCTTTGTCGAGGAACATCTTTGACGAATGCGTGATAATAGTTGTACTTACCCAATCCTTATCAGTCGTGGCGGGCTGCAAAAGAAAAAAATAGAGAAAAAAAATTGAGATAATTTTATAAGAAATTTCATAAGCAAATGTCAAAGTGTTATCATTATTCAGACATTTAATGAACGGATATAATAAGCGTGCGTAAATAGTCCTGTAACTTTGAATGTTAATAGTATTTCGTTAATCCATCTATTCTATGGTTACCTAAATATATTTTGCATTGAAGAAATATATCAATTATAATTTGGTAGAGATATTTGTTCCACTTAATTAATAATAAAAAATGATTACCTAAATATAACTTTATTAATTCAACTTTGATCTGATAATTTAAATGATTTGATAACCTAATGAAACAGCGTCTGTATAAAACGATACGACATGGTAAATAAAGATAATATTTTTTTAAATATTTCTTGAAATTTCAAAATATCACATTTTCTTATCATTTGGTTACTGGCTTCATCGCGCAAATAAACAATTATACTCGAGAATTAATACATATATATAGGAGAAAGATTACCTTCGGTGTTGGAGCCAGAGCCGTTGGCGTTGTCGCCTGTTCCTGAATGTCGTCGCTTGACTAGAGTAAAATGTTTAATTACACCAATTTCGTAACATACATGAGCGGCGTAGGTGGAAAGCACGAGAATATAATTGAAAAATTCTATAATGATCTAATCAATTTTTTTAAGAAGTAGGAATAATTAAATTTTAATCCTCTCTCTTAATGTAAACATTAATCATTTAACATCATAAAATAATAACTTAAATCATTTTTGTAATTTCTAACTCTCTTATGATATTTTTCTATACAAAAATAAAGAATAAAATAAACATGAAAAAATCCCATCTTTATATTTTGTGTTTATACTTTATGTTTATAAATAAAATAATACAACAAAAACAATAATAATAAAACATGATTTTATTCATTAAATTAATTATATAAAATTTTTGCGTTCTATCTTTAATTTCCGGCTATACTTTCAGCGTAAGAATAACGCGTAGATATATGTATACGATACCTTTTCTTTTTCCACACCCATCGTATAGCAGCTTGAAAGAATAGAAAACAAACAGGTTGGTTAGTCAGTGAAAATCTAAAAATGTAATCGTTGAGTATATATGCGATATCTCTCTATGCAAATATGCGAGACCCGAAAAATCTGTAGCGTAGCCAATATCGCTCGAAAATGAGAAAGAACCACAGCAATAAAAAGTAACTTTTAAAACTCGCGATAACTCGTTGGAATGTCTTACAAAATGCGATATCGATCGATTAAGAACGGTCACTGTCTACTTCACTGCACACATAATGATGCAATATCAAACAAAAAGCTCACCTCTAAGGATGACAAATGTGATGTGACTTATAGGTATGACGAAGATCGTAAAAAATTTATTTCAACAATAATGTTAAAACTATAAAGTGAGAAAATTCTGAAATATTTTTCACGATCGATACATTTATAAATCGATAACATGTGTAATAAAATTATCTGTAATAAAATTTATTAAAAATACTTATTATATATTAATTATGAATTACATAGCGACAAAATGTATTATATACGAACATTGCATTCGCAGTGATGAACTCATTTTACGTAAAAAAAATTCCATTTTATTAGATTTTGCTCTACAAAAAAGTTCATTAAAAAATATTTTCACGTTAATATGAAGTTTGACAAGGTAAGAATTTTATATTGTTGAAAAATTGAATAAAAGTACAATAAATATCGACTTTCATAAAAATTTAAAGTTAATTTGTACAAGAAACTCCGTCTGTCGAATTGAAGACTCCATTTGTCACTGTATTGTCGGTAGGACAGGATGAGATGCAATCGTTCTTTATTCTTCGTATCTTATTATTCTGACATATTTCTTCATTCAATTTATTTCATGCAAATCCGATTAGTTAGGCAAAGCATTTATCAAGCACGATCTGATAATTGACATGTCTAGGCT